ATACCTGCACTTTTTCGCTTCTCACTTGAATCTACTTGAGACTACTCCTATGAATTGAAGTGCAGTGCAGATATGTAAAGTGCAGGTATTGAAAGTACAGGAATGTAAAACTGGAAAGTAAAATATGAAATAAAGACTGGTATGTATGATCTGAGTTCCGTCCTTTTTCCTGGGGGTCTCTCTGCTATTTATACTTGTCAAAGATGACTTTCGAACTGCTCTTCGAACCGTCGAACTGCTCCTCCATGATCGTTGATCATGTTGCCTTAGAAGTAGCTCCATTATGCCACCATTTGCAGTTAGGCTTCCCTCCTGTATTTGAATTTGAATATGAGTAACCGTTGAAGCCACGTCACCTTGCGTTTCTTTACTGATCCAATGTTGCTCAGACCATGTGAGAACCAATTATCATCACCACGTGTACGATCAGGATTGAAGACTTAAATTATTTTCCAATAATACCCTTATTCTGCCACGTGTCGGATTGTAACTGGCTTTTACAAAATATATAGCTAACAAATTTCCTACAAGTTAGAGGGAGCGAATAAGATTAAGGAAATATTAGAAAGGCTTGACGAGATTGCTAAAGAAAAAGAACAGTTTCATCTTAATGTCAATGTTAATAGAGAGACATATGAGAGCAGGAACACTACTTCTTATGTGGTTGAATCTGATGTTGTTGGTAGGGAGGATGACAAAAACAAAATAGTTGATCAGTTGCTATCAAGGGAATTTGATAGGGAAGGAGACATTTCTGTGGTTCCTGTCATTGGGATGGGAGGATTGGGCAAGACAACTCTTGCCCAAGTGGTTTTTAATGATGATAGAGTTAAAAACCATTTTGAGTTTAGGATGTGGGTGTATGTGTCACTGAATTTTGACTATAAAAAAATCCTAAAAGAAATGATAGAATATCAGACTGAGATGAATTATGATACAAACTCATTGTCAGATAACCAATTAGAATCTCGCCTTCTAGAATTATTGGCCAAAAAATGCTTTTTACTCGTCCTAGATGATGTGTGGATTCAGAGTTATGATGACTGGGAGAAACTACAAAAACTCTTAAAACAAGGGGAAAAGGGTTCTAGAGTATTGATCACTGGCCGAAACACTAGGGTTTCAGAAGTTACCATTGGCACACAACCTCCCTACCTCTTAGATTGTTTGCCCGAAGACCAGTGTTGGTCATTGTTTGAAAAAATTGCATTTGATCGACAAAACGTTTTAGCAGATGATGTGCGTAAACGTTTGGAGGATATTGGTAGGGAAATTGTACACAAGTGCAATGGATTGCCTTTGGCTGTCAAGGCAATGGGAGGTCTTTTACGCGGTAACAATGATGTGAATAAATGGCAGAATATCTCGAAGCACGAGATTTGGAAAGCAGAGGAAGAAAGTACTAACACTGGGAAGCCAATTGTTCTGCCTGTGCTAAAATTGAGTTATGACCATCTCCCTTCCAATTTAAAGCATTGTTTTGCATATTGTTACATATTTCCCAAGGGTTATTTGTTTGAAAAGAATGAGTTGGTTAAATTATGGAAGGCAGAATCCTTTATTCCTCCTAGAGGAGAGAAAACGATTGATGAAATTGGAAATGATTATTTTGATGAGTTGTTGATGAGATCCTTCTTTCAACTTTTAGACATTGACGACATGTTGAGATATAGGATGCATGATCTTATCCATGACTTGGCACAATCAATTTCAAGCCCTCACTGCTACCAAGTCAAGGATAATGAATTGTGCCATATCTCTGAAAGATCACGTCATGTATCATTGCTTTGTAAAGAAGTCGAGAAGCATGCTTCAGAAATTGTTGAGAAATCTAAGAAGTTGCGTACGCTTATATTGACTAGTGAATACCATAATGCCTTTGGGAAGGCCCTTGGTAAATTGTTTCGTAGTTTGAAATATGTACGCGTGTTGGATTTGAGTTCCAGCACACTGATGGAATTGCCAAACTCAGTTAAAGAGTTGAAGTTGTTGCGTTACCTTGATCTTTCTAAAACTGAAATCAGAGCTCTTCCCAACTCCATATGCAGCCTCTACAATTTGGAAACACTAAAATTATTAGGGTGCTTTTGGCTTTTCGAACTGCCAAAAGACCTTGGTAACTTGGTCAACTTGCAACATCTCGAGCTGGATGATATGTTCTGGTTCAAGTCATCCATTTTACCTCCAAAAATAGGTTGCCTAACTGTACTCCAAAATCTACATGCCTTTCAGATTAGCCATGAGAGTGGTTATGGAATTGATGAATTGAAGGATATGAAGTGTCTTAAAGGAACTTTACATATTTCAAAGCTCGAGAATGCAACAAATGCAGCAGAGGCAAAGTTGAAAGAGAAAGAAAAGCTTAAGAAGGTGGTATTTGAATGGAGCAATAGTGATGGTGATCCACAACATGAAGCAGCTGATGAAAGCATGCTTGAAGACCTTCAACCTCACTCAAATCTCGAAGCGCTCCATCTTGTCTGCTACAAGGGTACCAGATTTCCATCATGGATAAGAGATAGGTTGCTCCCGAATCTTGTTAATCTTTCCTTAAATCATTGTTCAAAATGCAAAGTCTTGTCTCTTGGGAAACTAGATCACCTTAAAGAGCTCCACATTAAAGGAATGCCAGAGTTGGAGGAATGGCCAGAGGCAGAATATCTTTCTCTGAAGATAATGAAGATTAGCAACTGCCCCATGCTAAGAAGTTTGCCTAACTTTTTTCCTGACATGGAACTGTTGAAGATCAAAAGGTGTGACTCATTGAAGACTCTTCCATTGACCCCCTATCTATGTTCTCTTACACTTGTCGACAATCTAATTCTGGAGGATTGGAACGAAAAGTTAGAGCCTATTTATCGTATTAATGATCAAGGCCAACATGAGCCCGTTCGTTTCGTTAATGATCAAGGCAAAATGATTGAGGTAATGGCATCTTACTTCAGATGTGTCACGGATTTAAAAATCATCAAATGCCCCATGTTGCAGGAACTGCCAAAATATGTTTGTCCGCAGAAATTAGAGATAAGTGGGTGTCAACGAGTCAATACCCTCCCAGAGATCTCTCAATGTCTTGAGCAATTAGTACTAGATGATTGCCATGGTGAAACACTAGTGAGGGCAATTCCAAACACCAATTCTCTATTCTCCTTGGTCATTTCGAACATCTCAAGCCTAAACATTCTTCCAAAATTGCCACATCTCTCTGGGCTTAAGGCATTATACATCCATTGTTGCAGTGATCTTGTATCTTTGGCTGGAGAAGAATCATCACTGCAAGGCATCTTCTCTCTCAAACTTCTATCTATTCAGAATTGTCCCCAGCTTGTGACACTGCCAGAACAAGGGTTACCTATTGCAATTGAGTGTCTTAGTATTGGTTCGTGCCACAATCTCAAGTCCCTAGGTCCCAAAGAAGTGCTAAGGAACCTTACATGTCTTAAGGATCTTTACTTGAGTGACTGTCCTGTGCTTCATTCGTTGCCAGAGGAGGGGCTCCCAGCCTCTCTTCAACATTTGCATATTGAAGGTTGTCCATTGTTGTTGAAGAAATGTCGAAATGATAGAGACCCAGATTGGCCGAAGATCATGAACACTCCTGATCTAGAGTTGGAGCCCATTGATGGAGATGGGGCATCTTGAATCAAAAAGCATCTTTAGCAGCTTGATATCACCATTGTCTTTGCTGTAAAGGTTAGTTCTCTTGTATGGTACCATGGACAGTGTATTAGGAGTGCAATTACGTCTTTCTTGCATCATTTTTTTTTTTTTTTTTTTTTTTGTGTATCACGCTTACAATCATCATTGTTTAATCTGCAGGAATTGACATGAGAATTTGACCAACCACAGCAACTTCATTCATACCGCTTAATGCAAAAGGATAAAGGTAAATTTCAACTTTGCTTTAGATGACTCTATGCTCATGCTTTTTTTTTTTTCTTTTTTTTTTTTTTGTTTAAGAATGGTGTGTCTAAACCAGCTTACGCGCACTTCAACTAATCTTAGGAGACCAATCCGACTGTTCGCTTGTGAGGATCCTATTTAAAGTTAAAGTAAATACTCTGTATGGTTTAGCTCTAATAAATTATTACAATTAGTGAATATTGAACCTAAGATCGATCGAGAGGACACTCCAAGCCCAAGTTGAGAGAGAGAGATATGCAATCGTTACAATCAGCATTTGAATAGTTTCATTGAATGTATAAGAATATAAGGATGGTTTTTTTGGCTATCTAACATGAAATTATATTATTAATATCTTTGAATTAACTTTAGAATTACATTGTTGATATGCCAGCGTTTGGATTTTAGAACTAAAAGGAGTAGTTGATTTTACTAAAAAATTGATAGAGACAACAAGACATGTCATATATTTTAGAATAAATTATAAATACGTTTATTAGAATTTACTTAAAATATTAATTGCCCCTCTAGTTCTAAAATTACACCATACCCCTTAAATTTTCTAATTACATAATAAAACCTTCTGTTATTATTAATCAACCAGTAAGTCAATTAACATTTTTTAATAATGTCAACAATATATTTCAAGTTACAGTTCTGGTAATTTCATTATTGTATAAGAAGATAGTTAAGAATTTTATTTTTTCTGTAAACTTTGTTAATTGACAAATTCCGACAATGTATAGTTGTAATTTCCAAAATCACAAAGAACAATCTGTATTTTAATTAAATTCCAAAAAGTATATTTATAAGTTACCCTATATTTTATCTATCTCGTTACTTAAAAAATTAAATATTTGTTGTTACTATTAATAACTGCAACGGTAAATATTGATAAAAAACATTCAACCCACTAATAAAAAATTCTAGAATCGGCATTGGTTAGAGCTAGCAATTTTATTATATGGTCATTTTTAATAAGTTATCACCAATATTATATTTTCAGTTGTGTACAACTTATCAAAATGAAATTTCACATCATACATTCTAAAAATCAAATTTTCATATTGCCTAAAATTTATACAACCATATCAAAAAAACAGAGGCACCCATTTGATACAATCAACAAACACACAACACTTTTCAAAATTCAATAAATGAGAGTTGAAAAATAAGTGAGAAATGGACTCTCATCAAAGATTTCTTTTTCACATCTTTTATTTATTTTTAACTATTCCAGTGTGGTCAATTTAATTAATGAGAGGATTGGTAAAAAAATCTTACAAAATAGTTTCATAATTAGAAAAGTCCACAATAGTTTTAATTGATAAGGTCGCTCGATTTAGGTTTTTTGGGGGGGACTTGAATCCCACCTAATTTGTGTGAGATTAAATTTGGCATGATTTTGCCTTATTATTATTTATTTACTTTTTAAAATTATTTTTGGCTCTAGCTATCACTTTTACACAAATAAGGGTTTCAAAAATAAAATCTTTTTTTTTTTTATCTTTAAAAGTAAAAATTTTGCTACAAAAAATATTAGGAGACAAATTCATGTGGTCATGAAAGACGTCACTAAAAGGCCATACCGAAAAAAAAAAAAAAAAAAAAAAAAAATTGCTAAAAAATCCACTTATGTACCAAAAACAAATTATTTTTTCATTAGAAAAATTTGTTCCAAAAATATAATAATTTATCATTATTTATGTTTAATTTCGTCACTGAAAATGCAACATATTTGACAACTAAGATATTTCATCTATAAAGAGTGATTTCGCCCTTAAATTTTTATTTCTAAAACATTTGTAATGTTTGTTGGGGAGAAGAGGGAGTGTGGAGTTTGCAAATCTAATTTTATAGTCTGTTGTTGCCTTTAGATTATGTATTTATTTATTTATTTATTTTTATCATACTTTGGATTATTAAGATGTGACTTTCCTGTCTCTTGGATTGAATCTTGAACAGTGGCTCTTTGTGAGGGCTCTCAATGCTGCTCCAGTAGTAGGGAGGTTTCCTGGCATCTTGGCAATGATTTTTCCTCTTCAAAGATCTTAATAGCAATGTATATGATTCAATTTGTTTTTTTTTGCGCCAACTTAGTTCGGAAGAGAAAGTTTTACTATGGTTCTCTGTACACTTATCTTCTCTTTATTGATGTATGTATTAATGTTTCCATTTGTACATTATATCTGATCAATAAAATTATCTTTTTCGCTGATAAAAACAAAAAATGCAAATCACATACAAGGGGATTTCATCTTGCCAAATCCTATTCCTTCTTGACATTTTGCTTAAGTTGGCCTCGTTTGAGGATAGATTATTTGAGTAACTTTTTAGTTTTTTAGCTAAAATATGAGGTAAAAAAATTAGTATGTTTGGAATGATTTTTTGATTTTTTACAAAAAGATATGTAAAAAGTAGAGAGAAAAATGAATCTTTGATTTTTTGATATAAATTATAGACTTTTTGATTTTTTTTAGTAATTTTTTGACTTTTAGACTAAGATAAGCACTCGCCAAACAAGGCCGGAGTTTGCTATAGTTGGCAGCATGGGAGGAAGAAGAGAGAAAATATGTATATGTAGGTTTAATTCAAAAGATTATTAGAAGTCGAATGTAAAAAGTTTAATTCATAAGTTCTATTAACAAAAATTAATATTATGCTTTTGTTCACCAATGACGTGAGCCTTATGTGATTATTTTAAAATGATAAGGACATAATTCACACATAGATCAAATCATATTAGAGAATAAAAATAAAATTTTACCATTATTTTATATAGAGCGGTGCTACGTTGCACGGCTCACCTCATTTCTTTTCGAATAATTCTATGAACACTAGTGCAAGTGGTCAAATATGATTTGTTGTCAAAAAAAAAATAATTAATACTTCAAAATCCAATAATGTTTAGACACGAATGTTTTATTAACAGTTTTAATATGTTTTATTAATAGTTTTAATATATGTAATATTGCTTGCGATAAAAAAAAAAAACTCAAGTATGCAATCCAAAGTCTGTAATTAAAGAGGGATGATGGTGATAAAAGGTATATTATATTTTAGTTAAAAAAATTAAAAAGTCATTAAATTTTAAAAAAATTTACTCATACAAAAAAGTTAAAGATTTCTTTTTATTCACTTTACAAAGTCAAAGATTTTTTGCTATTTATACCTTTTTTTGTTTGTTTTTTCTTAAAAAAATTAAAAAATCTTTTCTAAACATATTATCGATTTTTTTCATTTCATATTTTAGTCAAAAAATTATTAAAAAATTCATTTTCCAATGGATCCTAATTGTCTAAGAAGGCCAGGTGTATATGTCATCCCATCTAAAGTGAAGAGTAAGGGTATGTTTGGTAACGTTTACGTTTTTAGTTTATATTTACAAAAATTTTATAAACTGATTTTTGTTTATTTTTTATTTATTTTTAGAAAAACATAAAATACAAATGCATTTGGTAATTAACAAAATGTTTAAAAAAATTTAAAAATATAAAAAAAGAGTGAGAAATGGCAAGTGGTGGCAAGTGGCTGCGAAAGACGGTGGTGGAAAGTGGTGACGATGGGTGGTGGGTAGCTGGTGGTGGTGGGTGGTGGCTAGCTGGTGGTGGCGGGTGGGTGGTGGTGGTGGGTGGGTGGATGACGGTGGCGGGTGGTGGTGGTGGCGGGTGGTAGTGGTGGTAGGTGGGTAGGTGACGGTGGCGGGTGGTGAGTGGTAGGTGGTAGCGAGTGGGTGGCGTGGTAACGGGTGGTGGATGGTGGTGACGGGTGGTGGGTGGTTGTGGTAGGTGGGTGGCGGATGGCGGATGGTGGCAGGTGGTGGTGGTTGTGGTGGGTGAAGGTGGTAGGTGGTAGCGAGTGGGTGGAAGCGTTCATTTTTTTATTTTTTTTTTGGTAAAATCGGGAAAAAAAAAAAAAAAAACTACAAATATACCATTTTTTATCGTCTATGTGCAATTACAATAGGCCCACCCTGTAAAATTAATTTATTGCCGACAAATCTATGATATCAGATGACCTTATTATCATATTTTGTTTACAACACAATGATACTAACACACTTGTTTTTGAATTTATGTACCTATATCACATGAATGTTATTAATATTTAACAAATATAAAAGTGTATCACAAAAAAAATAATAAACAAAATCTTATTAAAAGAAAGAAATAATTATGACACATCAACATTTTGTGATAAACAAATGTCTAAATTTGCCCCACTACTCACACTTACCAATATTTTTCAAGTTCAGTATGTACAAGAATTAACATAAAAAATTCAGTAACACTACAAATGAAGAAAACTTGGTACATAGGGTGCATGGTGGTAGCGAGTGGGTGGCAAGTGGGTGGTGGGTGGCTAGTGGGTGGTAGTGGCGGCTGGTGGTGGCAGGTGGGTGGTGAGTGGTGGTGGCAGGTGATGGTGGGGGGTGGGTGGTGGTGGCGGAAGACGGTAGTGGAAAATGGTGGCGAGTGGTGGTTAGTGTTGGGTGGTAAAAAAAAGAAAAAACTCAAAACTCAAAACGGAAACACATTTTTTTGTGTTTTTATTTTTTGGCCAAATTTATAAACTGAGACCACTGATTTATAAATCAAAAATTTTATCAAACAAGTTTTTATTTGAGTTTTTAAAATTTTTATAAATATAAACTGAAAACTAAAAACGTAAGTGTTACCAAACGGCACCTAATTATTTGGACTTGTACTAACCCTTCACATTATTCAACACAAAATACTTGTCATGCTGTATCCAATTAATCAAACAAAAAGTAATAAATCCCACTGTTTTAAGTAATAAAAATCAAATTAAGGCACCTCATAAATTTGCCTAAGACCCAAATAGTTTTCCTCACCCTAATAATCAGTCAGATACCTAGTTTTATATTTCAATAATAAAAAGGCATAGTTTGAATTGTTTATGGCCTTAGACAAAATTTGGTTAAGAGCAAAATGGTTAGAAAGTGGGGAAAATAAAAATAAAAAATAATTTTTTCTAAGTTGGTTTATCATGAAAGTAGTGAAAGTTACAATAAAATTAATTTTTCGATTAACGGGTCCACACCACATGTACTGCTATCAGTGGCGTAATTAGGAATTTCAACTACTAGGATCATTTAACAAGTTATTATTAATGTTTTATATTATTTTATATTTTTAATTCTACAAAACTTATTAATATTAGCATTCACGTGATACTTGTAAATTACATTTATATTTTAGATTAGATTGACAAAAATAATTCAAATTACTTCAATTAAAAAAAAAACAATATTAATATTTTGAAAAATATATATATTCACATTTTATGAGAATATTCGATGTTGCTTTTTATTAAGAGCTCGATCTTTTTTTCTCATTCTAATATGAGACAAGTTCTCAAACTTATTTCAAGCTTTTCAAAATACAATAAGGAAGGTTTTGAAAATACCTGTAAGCTTTTAACATTATTTTTGAAAATTTCCCAACAAGCTTTATATTCTAAAGAGTAATGCTAGAGATCATGAAAAAAATATCATGAAGGTGATCATGAAAGATTCTCCACACATACAATAAAACACGACACACTAATCAAGGGATGAAAAATTTTCATGATGCATTTCATGATATATTTTTCATGATCCATAGCATTATTCTATTATAAACATTATTTTTATTGTTATAGCCTTGGAGTAAAGTGAGGATGAAAAATCGGTTTTACTTTGTACGCCTTATTTTTACTTTTGTAACTTTGATGTAAGATAAGGATGGAAGATGATAAGAATTGGTTATCTTTAAATTTTCCAAACAGCCACATTAATCTTTCAAGGGCTTCTAGAGTCTCTGACTCAGTCTTATGTTTCTTAGCTTGATGATATGACCCATTCAACCCTTGTTTGTAAGGTGATTTAACACCATTTGAAAGGTGAAATACTTTGTGGAAGTTGCTCAAAAAATAGTCATACACATACACTTTTGATGGATTCAAAGGATATATAGCTATAGCATATTTGTTTCTCTACCTGAAAACATTGCAGTGAAATCATTTTCATACAAGAAATTAACTGATGGATTCTTTTTCTCATTATTTTGTCTAACAAGTGGAATTTTTTTTTTTTTTTTTCCCCACACAATAGAATGTTAGTAGTTTAATAGAGTCAGATTACAACAGCAAGTATTAAATTGCACCTGAGATTTTGAGAGAATTTCCTAAGAAGCAGTAGTCCTGTCTCAATCATCCACTTGTGGACTGTAGGAACTTTGACATATTCCTCACTCGGTTGTTATCCCCCCCATCGCATTCATCATCAAGTAATCTACTTCAAAATCCTCCTACCATGTTAGACTTTTTCTTTAGAGAAAAAAGAGATACTTCAAAGAAAAAACTTCCATTATGACATATTCTATGGATACCAAGAAAGTGCCCTGCTTGTATTTTGTTGTCTATATGTATGTGCTTGTAAATTAGGATGGGTACAGAGTGCAAGTAATATCATAATAATACATCACAGTTTGCCAAAGCTAGTCTCCAGTTTCTTCCCATTCATTAACATCTTGTTTTCTTTTCTTTTCTATTCTTTTCTCAAGTAATTGTAGTTCCACTTCTGAAGAATCATTTTATGGCTGACCCAATTTCACTAGTAGTAGGTCCCCTAGTTAATATTGTCATAGAAAAAGCTACTTCCCTAATCGACCAAAATTTCCAGTCACTGACAGGTGTGGAGAAAGATGTTAAAACTCTCTCAAGCACGCTGACTTCAATCCAATCTGTGCTTAAAGATGCTGAGGACAAGCAACTTCACAGCGAGCAGTTGAGAGATTGGCTTGGAAAGCTCAAAGCAGCAGCTTATGACTCACAAGACGTATTGGAAACATTTGAAACCGATGCCTGCCTGTGGCAACGAAAACAGCAGGTACGAAACTGTCATCCTCCTTTTAGTGGCAGTAAAATTTCATACAAATTAGAGGCTGCGCGTGAGATTAAGGATATTTTAGTAAGACTTGATGAGATTGCTAGAGAAAAAGAAAAGTTTAATCTCAATGTGAATGTTATCAATGGACAAACAGATGAGAGTAGGAACACTAGTTCTTTAGTGGTTGAAGCTGATGTGGTTGGTAGAGAGGATGACAAAAATAAAATAGTTGATCAGTTGCTATCGAAGGAATTTGATAGGGAAGGGGACATTTCTGTAATTCCTGTCATTGGGATGGGAGGATTGGGCAAGACAACTCTTGCTCAAGTGGTCTACAACGATGATAGAGTTAAAAAACATTTTGAATTTATGATGTGGGTGTGTGTCGGAGTCGATTTCAACTACAGAAGAATCCTAAAAGAAATGATAGAATATCATTCCACGATGAATTATGATAACATCAATGCATTGTCTGATGAACAATTAGAATCTCGCCTTCTATCATTCTTCGCTAGAAAAAGCTTTTTTCTAGTCCTAGATGATGTATGGATCGAGAGTTATGATGCCTGGGATAAGCTTCAAAAAGTCTTAAAACAAGGGGGAAAGGGATCTAGAGTATTAATCACTAGTCGAAACACTAGGGTTGCGAACCTCACCATTGGCACACAACGTCCCTATTGCTTAGACTATTTGCCCGAAGACCAGTGTTGGTCATTGTTTGAACAAATTGTGTTTAAACAAAATAATATAACGGGCAATGAGAGTAAAGATTTGGAGCATATTGGCAAGGAAATTGTACGCAAATGTAATGGACTGCCTTTGGCTGTCAAGGCAATGGGAGGTCTCTTGCGTGGTAACCATGATGTGAACAAATGGCAGAAAATCCTAGAGCATGACATTTGGGAAGCGGAGGAGAAAAGCACTAATACGGGGAAGCCAATTGTTTTGCCCGCCTTAAAATTGAGTTATGACAATCTACCTTCATGCTTAAAGCAGTGTTTTCTATATTGTTCCATATTTCCTAAGGGTTATATGTTTGATAAGAGCGAGTTGGTCAAATTGTGGAAGGCAGAATCCTTTATTCATTCTGACGAAATTGGAAGCGATTATTTTGATGACTTGTTAATGAGGTCCTTCTTTCAACTTTTAGACATTGACAGCATGCAGAGGTACAGGATGCATGATCTTATCCATGGATTGGCACAATCAGTTTACTACCAAGTCAAGGATAATGAATCGTGCCATGTCTCTGAAAGTCATCGCCATGTATCATTGCTTTGTGAAAATGTCGAGAACCTTGCTTTAGAAATCACTGATAAGTCTAAGAGGCTGCGCACACTACTATTTCCTAGTGAACACCATAAAGTCTTTGGGCAAGCCCTTGACAAACTGTTCCGAAATTTGAAATACATACGCGTGTTGGATTTGAGTTCAAGCACACTTGGGGAATTGCCAAACTCGATTAAAGAGTTGAAGTTGTTGCACTACCTTGATCTTTCTAAAACCGAAATCACAGCACTCCCCAACTCCATATGCAGCCTTTACAATTTGCAAACACTAAAACTATTAGGGTGTTTTTCGCTCTTCGAACTGCCAAAACACCTTAGTAACTTAGTCAACTTGGAGCATCTCGAGCTAGATGATATGTTCTGGTTCAAGTCATCCACGTTACCTCCAAGAATGGGTTGCCTAACCAGACTCCAAAATCTGCATGCTTTTCAGATCAAACACAATTCTGGTTATGGAATTGATGAATTGAAGGATATGAAGTGCCTCAAAGGAACTTTACATATTTCCAAGCTCGAGAATGCAACAAATGCAGCAGAGGCAAAGTTGAAAGACAAAGAAAAGCTTGAGAAGGTGGTGTTTGAATGGAGCAATAGTGATGGTGATCCACAGCATGAAGCAACTGATGAAAGCGTGCTTGAAGACCTTCAACCTCACTCAAATCTCAAAGTGCTCCAACTTTTGTGCTACAAGGGGACTAGATTTCCATCCTGGATAAGAGATGGGTTGCTCCAAAAACTCGTTAATCTATCCTTTAATCATTGTTCAAACATCAAAGTGCTATCTCTTGGGAGGTTGGAGCACCTTAAAGAGCTCCACATTAAAGGAATGTTGGAGTTGGAGGAATGGCCAGAGGCGGACTACATTTCTCTGCACACACTGAAGATTAGCAACTGCCCCAAGCTAATTTGTTTGCCCAGCCTCTTTCCTGACATGGAAGTCTTGAAGATCAAAAAGTGTGACTCATTGAAGACCCTTCCACTGACCCCCTTCCTTTGTTCTCTTACACTTGTCGACAATCTTGTTCTGGAGGATTGGAACGAAAAGTTAGAGCCTATTTTTTTCATTAATGATCAAGGCCAAAGGGAGCCGCTTCATTCTGTTAATGATCAAGGCGAAACTGTTGAGGTAAAGGCATCTTACTTCAGACTTCTTACCGATATAAAAATCGTTAATTGCCCCAAGTTACTGCCACTGCCAAAATCCGTTTCACCAGAGAAATTAGAGATAAGTGGTTGTCAACAATTGAACACCCTCCCAGAGCTCTCTCTATATCTTCAGCATTTAGCACTAGATGGTTGCCATGGTGAAACACTATTGAGGGCAATTCCAAACACCGATTCTCTATTCTCGTTGGTCATTTCCAACATCTCAGGCATAACCCATCTTCCAAAGTTACCACAACTTTCTGGGCTTAAGGCATTATACATACATTATTGCAGCGATCTTGTATCTCTATTCGAAGAAGAATCATCGTTCCAAGGCCTATCTTCTCTCAAACTTCTATCCATTTGGAACTGTCCCCAACTTGTGACACTTCTAAGTCAAGGGCTACCTGCTACAATCGAGTGTCTTAGTATTGGTTCATGCCACAGTCTCATGTCCCTAGGTCCCAACGAAGGGCTGAAGAACCTTACCTCTCTTAGGGATCTTTACATTGATGACTGCCCTGCACTCCTGTCATTGCCAGAGGAGGGGCTTGCAACCTCTCTCCAACATTTGCACATTGAAGGTTGTCCGTTGTTATTGAAGGAATGTCAAAACGACGTTGGCCCAAATTGGCTAAACATCAAGGACATTCCTGATCTAGAGATTGAGCATCCCAATTCCAAAACAAAAGTATCTTCACCGGCTTGGTATCGCCAATTTATTTGTTGTATAGGTTAGTTCTCACTTTGTCAGTAGCATCGACTTTTTATTTTTCCTCTCCCATTGATTTGGTTTAGTATCAAATATCAACAATTTTTTATTTTCTAAATTTTGTTCTCCTCTACTTACTGAAGTTATTATTCTCTTGTATGACACATATATAGAAAATGCAAACTGTATTGACAAAGAGCAATTACTTCTTTCATAGATCATTTTTTTATTTTTATATCACATATCATGCTTACAATCATTATCATTTAATCTGCAGGAATTGACAGTGAGAATTTGAGCAACCACAACAGCTCAATTCACAGATCTTAAAGCAAAAGGATAAAGGTAAAAAATCAACTTTGCTTTCCATGTTTATGCTTTTGGTGTTTGGAGTGAAATAAACAAATGTATATGGTCGATTTTGTTACACAAAATATTAAACTTTCAGCTGTTAATCCAATATCAAATGGTTACACATGATTTGTAGGATACTGAAGCTTGATGATGATTTGAGAAAGAACTACCAATGGTCAAAAGATTTGATTTGGGAGGCAAAATGTAAGGATTGCATGCTTGGTTGATATTCTTGGTTGCATCCAAATACAAGTTTACTAGCGCTAACCCGGTGTATGCACGGGCAAGTAAGAAAAGGTGGTGAATAATACAAAAAATTAACTATTAAATACTATGATACTTAAAGAATAGATTTGAGTTATCTCACTATGTGTATATAGGTATGCAGATTGATTAATTTTTTTAAAGCAGACTTGTTTGTGGTTCGCTTCGGATATATGGTTGTTTGGTGGGTTTGAATTTGGCATCTTTGTTCTCTCTCTTCATTTTTTTTTTCTTTCCAATTTGTATATTAACAAGCGGTGTTCCTTTCACCGTTGCTTAAGCCTCCTTTGTTGCCTTGTCTCTGCAATTGTTTTTATTCTTCTCTTTACTTTTACATATATAAACATACATACATACTTTCCCTCTTCTTCTTTCAATCAATCTCCTTTTCAGACACCCTTTGGATGTTCTTTTGAAATCTTCGCTGAACCATCCCTTGGCGAACTCCAACATGAAGTAGATCTCCATCTTTGTAGCCAAGACCTCGAAGAGATGGACAATGTTGCATTTTCCGAACATTAACTCTGGCATTTTCTCTAGCCACAGATAGTAACTCTGTATTCTTCCTCAAAATCCTCTTCTCTTGGCATGAAACCACTGGCCGAAAATCAAATCAAAACCTTTGAGAAATTAAATTTATTTAAAAGTATCATTAACTAATTTCATATCGGCTTCATATATTTTTTGTTTAATTTTTACTTCTATTGTGAATTTATGCCTCAAAAAATTGTTTCAATTAGTGGTGTTGATGTTGAATTTGAGCTTGGATTTGAAAGATCTAAGATGGGGTGAAGTGGTTATTTGTACAGATAGGGGGAAAAAAAATTAAGCTTATTGAATTTCAACGAATAAGAAAAACATGCTTGCTGAATTTAAACAGATAAGAAAAATAAGTTTGGTGAATTTCAAAAAATATTAAAATAATCTGGTCAGATAAGAAAAGAATTTCAACAGATAGAATTTTTAAACAGATAGGTTATATATAAAAATTTCTATCATTGACCAATAAATGTTCTTATCACCAAATAAGAATTTCCCTATATCCTCTTTATATTGGAGTTTTTACCACTTATCCCTTTATTTTATACATAGTCAAAATTGCATGAAAATAATGAGATTTTTCAAAGGTTAAGGCAGCTAAAATACTATTTTATTTTATAATTGCTGAAAATTGTATGAAAATAATGAAAAATTTCAAAATTGTAGTGAGCCAAAGTAAAATTACTTAGATTTTGATATTCAAAATTGCATGGTAAAAATGGGATTTTGGAATTGTTATAGTTTCTGCTCCTGTGTAATTTAGATTTGTTATTCTTAAGCTCTGTTCTAGTATGAAATTTGTTGCAAATTCATATATATAGATACATATATATCGCCACCCTTTTAGCTAGGGTGTAGGATTATCAGGAATTGGATATATCTAGTATATTTTAGAAATTTGAGGTGACATCTTTGAGGTGGATACATTAATGGTGTGTTTGGTTGGAGGATTTGGGAAGGGATTTGGAAAGGGAAAGGGAAAAGGTGTGTGAAACTATGTGAAATTTAGACATGTTTTATTCATATTTCACCTAACTTTTCCACTTCCCTTTCCAAATCCCTCCTCAAATCCCTCAACCAAACACAACATAAAGGACAAATAAAATAGTGATGGAAATCCTTGGAAATATGATTAATTCCTACTTTGGAGGAGCTTAAACAACCATAACCATAACAAAATAACTCTACCCATAGCATAGGTTGTGCTTACATGTATCATGTGGTAGGGAAGAGGAGACAGACTTAGGAACAACTTTGTTCTCGGTGCTATAATTACCCATGAGATTGATCCTATGTGATTGAGAACCTCTTTGTGGTGTTGAGAAGTAAAAGGGCCTATGAAGAGCCAAGTCCAATGCCTAAAATTCATGTAAGAAGAAAAGGACATGCGAAGACCTAAAGCTGAAGCAAACCATACCGGTTTGATAAATTCACACATCAAGAAAAGATGCTCTTGTCTTGGACTTAAATTAATTGATCGAATGAGGCTTAATATCTTTACAGGAAGCTAACATTTACAAAACAACTCAAGTGCTCAACGGCTCAATCTCATATTACTTGGTCCATCAGATTTGATGTGTTAAGGCATCAGTAATTTTTATGTGGATAGTATCCTTGGCTCCTTTAATCCAGATACTCAATCTCATATTACTTGGTCTATCAAATTTGATGTGTTAAGGTGTCAGTAATTTTTGCATAGATAGCATCCTTGGTTCCATTAATCCAGATAATGTAAAATTGATCCATTCTTTTACATGCTTGATCAATTGAATGTGGTGTAGATTAACCATACTAGGTGAAATTTGATTTTTTATATGGTTTCTTTCTCTACCAGAATTTCCCTGTACTCCTTTTGGACTTGATTGAGATATATGGAAATTATGGAGCATTTAGGCTGGGCGTAAAAGTCAATTAACCCCATATCATTTCCTTATTTTTGAAGTGCATATTCATTATCTCAACTGAGGGCATAAGAGAAATGTCAAAGCTACCATAATAGATATTTGTTTTATTGAGTTCATGACCATAGTAAGTTTAGTTTTGGACCATAGGCTAGATTAGCTATTGGGTTTGACTTTTAGAATCCATAGACTTGGTGACGTAGGACAACTTGCTGGATTTTTAAACAGAGGCTATTTAAAGGCCCAAACAGTGAGTGATTTAAATTGAAGGCTAATAGGAAGGAGAAGAGATTAGGGATGATTTGGGGGTAATATAGGATAAGGTTTTGGGGCTGCAATGTACATTTTTAATGAGCTGTGATTGATAATCCAAGAACAACAACTTGGGTATGTGCGCAAAGAAGAAGAAAGAAAGGAAGAAGAAGAAGAGGGAGAAAGAGGTGCTTCACCCTCGCAAGGGTTAGGCTAATCACACACAAACACAATATCAAATTCTCATAATATCAACTTTTCTATTGAATCATTGGGATTACACATATATTTATAGGTTAAAGACTTTCGTATTTCTATAAAGACTTACTCAAATTTAGAAGCTAAGAATATTTGAAAGTTACTAATACTCTGGACCAACTAGGACTCTAAACATGATTCAAATAACATTACTTGACCCGCAAGACGACCCATGGACTATGACTACTAATTGTGTCTAGCAATTATTGAATTTACCATAATACCCATAAGTACTAAAACATACTATAATAATATAAATATGTCTAGCAACATAATAAATTATAATAAATACAAATAAAGAATCAAAATGATTTCGAAACTTCAATCCTTATGTTTCATATGAAATTTCAGATTTGCCCTTTTTCTTATTTGTTTGAGTTGGTACTGCTGATGAATCTTTTTTTTGGGGTAGAATAATAATGTTGTAGCTTGTTCTTGTATAGGTAGATATATAAGGTGTTTTTACACCATGTTCTGGAGGGAATTTCTTCAGTTGGTATAATGTTTACTGGGTTTTGTTGGCTTCCTTTTTTTTTCCCCCCCTGGTCTTATCTTTTTGGTGGCTTATGGTGCCTTGGTCTTCCTCCCCTTTTTCTTCAATAACTGCCTCTTATGATGAGGAAAAAGTGCTGAAGCATCAACAAACATAACTTGTTTTAGTAATCTCTAAAATTTATGCTTCATGTCCTCTGGTTCTAGTTATTTGTTTACACAACTCTTCAATATTTTGACAAGCCTTTGACAAAACAATTATGTTTTTAATTTATTGATCTCACAGTTCAAATTTAATTTTTTTTTTCGGCAGAAAGACAATGTTTCTAACCAGCGGGAACACATAGTTCTCCTCCTTGCAAATCAACAAACTCGGCTTGGGATTCCTGATGAGCTTGAACCGGTATGCCTTAGATGCCATTCTTAAATTATTAAATTAAATTTCAATTTGTGTAGTTATGATCATCACTTTTTCCATTAAATTTGTAAGTTAAACATGGTTGATAGTATGATGCTTGAAGGAAGACTCTGGACATTTATTCTGCCTTTATTGAGATCTCTTTGTTATTGATTTCATTCTATTGAGGCTGGAAATCATTTTGGGAACTATGGAGCTGCTATTCTATTTAAAGAATGCACTTGCTGACTGTATTTTGGGTTTTTTGTATGCCTCTATATTTACTTTATGATTTTATTCCTACTTATGTGTTAGGGTGTTGAAATCTTGCAATTGTCAGGGCCTCACGCACTATCTAATGATTGGATTTCCATATTAGAGTTGTCAAATAACTTGCTTTGTTCTCCCTTTATTATTTATTTTTTATTTTTTTTGATTTTTCAAATTTTAATGTGGTGAGGACACCATTACCTTTTTCATAGTATATGCTTTGTTGTATTTACTACTTGAATCTTTATTTCCTTTTTATATAACTGTCCGTAATCCTTTCTATGATGCCCTATGTTTGTTGAGAATTCATGACATTCGTATTTAATATATAGATATATACTACTAAATACATCTCTGAAAATGGGGCATTACTTGATGCAATGGATAAAGCGTGGGTTGCCAGTGCAAGATAATGCTAGATTTGTGAAGTCTATGTTTTCTAGCTCCCTCTTTTAATTGGGATAAAGAATGGGTAATGGCCATTTTGTGTTGGGACATTTTGTATTAAAAATGGAGAATTTGTAGTTAATTATGTACCCCACTGTTATATATTTTATGCCATTGTGTAATGTTGTTTCTCTTCATTTTTATACTTAGTGTTATGTGTGAGTATGTTTGTGCTTGTATTAGGTACTTTGAAAATATTGTTACATGCATCTTAGTAGCAGGAAACTCGTAGTTGGGTGACATTTCTTACTCAAGAATGTGATTCTGCACTCCCAAGTAAGAAACATGTAAGAAACTCGCTCCCATCGAGGAATAAACTCACTCCCAACTGAGATATAACATCTCAAACATACGATTCTCAAAGAGAGTAGTAATCCAAGAATAGTATCTTGGGTATGTGCGCAAAGAAGAAGAGAGCATGGCAGACCGACAAGGTATCATGTAGCACCGATTGCATGCTTAGCCTAAGTGGGAGCACACACAAGTCCAAGTATGTAATTATTTATAACAGACAACAACATGGCCCTGTATGCCCATGGTCTTTCATTCCTCACTCACTTCCAGCCCAATAGCATTATAGTCAGGCCCCCAGCTTGCTTGCATGTGTTGGAATGTTAATGATGAGCCCTCGGCTCTCCCAAACATTGAGATAGGCCTTTGGCCCACTCATCCACTCAATTGCCTGGGTCGGGAGTAGGATCCAGGCATCACTACTTGGGATCA